AGTCAGAACAAAGAACGGGAGGAGAAGCCAATATGCTAAATACTTGACACCTTGGTTTCCAATCAGACTAGCAAATTAGCTCCAAAGTTCCCGGGCATTCTCTTGTCTAAACAGATTGGTTACAAACAAACGTGTGACTTAACAAACATCATTAACCCTGTAAATACTGAAGTGTTTTGACTTGTAACACCCAACAGAAATCCTTGCTTTCATTTAAGTCTCCAATTTAAGTAGACTTTTCATTGTGGAGATATGTGAGAGAGTTGACCTTTTTAAAATGAAAGCTGGCGGTATAGAAGGACCAGCAGAGAGATCCTGATAAGGTTACAACCTTGTAGCAACATGCCAGTTTCTTTAGAAAGCCCGAATGCAGTGGCCTGGGGTAGGGGAACGGTGGCCTGGGCAGGCGGAGGCAGGAAAAGTGCAGGGAAGCTGTTGTGTAGACACGCCACCTGCTTCGTGGCCGTGGAAGCCACTGTTGCCCAACCGGCTCCCGGTGCACAGGTGCAACTTCCGCACCTGCAGCTGTCTGTGTCCCCTTTTGCGACTCAGCCACAGCGCGCGGGTGGGGGGGGGGTCACAGCTGGCGCGGTTTCCCCAGAAATGGAACGAGGCACATACACTTCTAGGTAGACCAAAAGGGGTAGGATAAAGAAAAGTGGAGAGCGAGCGAGAGAGAGCAAGCTGAAAGCGGAGCAGGCCAGCAGAATAGCACTGCCACCCAGAAGACGCTCGTGCACAGTCTAGTCCTGTGCAAAGATACCACACAGGTTGGGGAGGGTAGTTGCTGTGTCTGGAAGGGATAAAAGAGAGAATCAAACATATACTTTGCCTGTCCGAACAAGGGGGGGACACGGACGGGACCATGGTCTAGGATTCCTCGGGGGGGGGGTCCCGTTGGGAGAGGCAGGATCTGTGTCTGGTTCCATAGGATGCCTGAATCCAAATTGCTAGCTGAAAGAGCCCTTTTGTATTGTGGGTCCTGATAGGGCTGTTGGGGCTGGAAAGGGCTATGAAGAGGCTGGCCAGGTGGTGGTTTTGGACACTTGGCTGAATTAAAACCTAAGGACCAAGGACTGGCTCGGGGAGGTGGTTGGAATTGACACGGTCCAGGTCCTGCTGCTACTCTGAGTAGCTTGGGATACCTGCTTATGTTTTAGGTAGATTGATTAGTTTAAATCCTGGGGAAGGGATGAAAAATTCACAGGTATCTACCAGCTGGAGTTAAAGTCATTAGCAGGCGTGCAAGACGGATCATTGGCAATAGGTACCCTGAGGATGCAACGTGATGCAATGATGACAGTGTCATCGATGCAACGAACATGAAGTTGAGCAAACTTCAGAGGATGGCGGAAGACCGGAAGGCCTGGAGGGAGCTGGTCCATGGGGTCGCAAAGAGTCGGACTCGACTGTGCGACTGAACAACAACACCCTGAGGATAGGCTCTTAGGGGCTCACTTGGCCTTTTATTTCACCTATATGCGCAGCTGGGTATCTACCAGCTGGAGTTAAAGTCATTACCAGGCGTGCAAGACGGATCATTGACAATAAGGTACCCTGAGGACAGGCTCTTAGGGGCTCATGTGGCCTTTTATTTCACCTGTAAGGACGTGTCGCTAGTGACTGAGATCAACGTTTTTCATACGGTGGTGTTCCCCCTTAGTATGCATGGGTGTGAAAGCTGGACAATGATGAAAGCTGGCTTATTTGAACTGTGGTGCCAGAGGAGAGTTTTACAGATAGCGTGGACTGCCAGAAAAGCTAAATAAATGGGTTCTAGATGAAATCAAGCCTGAATTCTCCCTAGAAGCTAAAATGAATGGAGGCTGTTGTACTTTGGCCGCATTATGGGAAGGCAAGAGTCACTGGAAAAGACAATAATGCTGGGGAATGTTGAAGGCAGCAGGAAGCAAGGAAGACCCCACGCGACATGGAGGGACTCCTCCATCCAGGAAGCCACGCGTGTCAGCTGGCTGCCATAGGAGCCGTGGGGTGTGGGGGAAGGGGTCCCTTGGGATGTGACTTTCGCGTTCCTGCTCTCTGGGTTGGTGCTCCCTTATCATCTGCATACAGGTGTATGTGTTTGGCCTTGGTTCCTGCATGTGACATCATCTGCTGGGAACGGGGCCGGGGCCCCCGTTGGAGCCGTTAGATTCTGGCGGGCCCTCGCTTTTGCCTTGATTACCCACCTTGCGCCCTCCTTTGAGCCCTGCCTATCTATCTGCCCCGCGCTTTGTAGCTTAGACTTAACACAGATCCTGAAGTAGAGACGTTCTGCCAATACTGATCAGTAAACTTCCTTTCTAAAGAAGGAAGTCGTTGATTCTGACTGTTGCTGGAGTCTGACAAGGAGGGTCCTCCCTTCGTCTGCAAGACCTGAGCAGGGCTGTCAACCCTGGGGTGTTCTGGAGGCCACTTAGTTTACAGGGTTGCCATAAGTCAGGAGTGACTTGACAGTTTTGTGCTGCTTTCAGGTGTGTGTGTGTGGGGATACTCCAAAATGTTGGGGGGGGGGGAAGAACCCCAGTGGCTGTTGTTGCTTGGCCGGCACATCAGAAGCACAGGATTTCAAGAGCGGGAGCCTCAGGGTAGGGTGGGGAATTATCCCTCTGTGTGTTGCCTTCCAGGCAACGCCACACACTTGGATGATCACCGTGTGGAAGCAGCCATTCGTTTTTGGTGCGGTGTTGGCAGTAAGGAAAGGACGGGATTTCAGTTCACGCTCTCTTCTTCCCACCGACTGTGACTCTTCTGCAAGTACTTCTGGACAATGTCAGATATTAGAAACAAGTCCCCCACTTATTTCTGTCCTTTCACAGCCTGCTGTATCCCTTTCTTATCATCCCATCATTCTTTCTTATCCACCCATCTTTCCCATGAAGCATAAACCGATTTGTCCTTATACTGAATCAGACCCTTGGTAGGGTCAGGATCATCTATTCAGACTGGCAGCAGCAGCGCTTCAGGGTCTCGGGGAGAGCTCTTTCGTATCACCTGTTGCCCAGTCCTTTTAACTGGAGGTGCCAGGGATGGCTTGGTACTCTCCTCAGTATTGTGTCATCTTTGAGGGATAGCAGGTAATGAAACACCCACCCTGCAAACCTCCTACTGAGGATATGCCATAGACAAATGCTTTTCAGTAGTCTAACTTATAGACGAGGCTCGCTTTACCAGTCACACATGTGCACATAGCTAACTAGTGGTGGTGGAAGGTCATGTCAAGTTGTAGCCTCCTCATGGTGACCCCTCATGGGGTTTTCAAGGTCAGAGACGTTCAGAAGGGGCTTGCCGTTGCCTGCCTCTGCATAAGGGCCCTGGGCTTCCTTGGTGGTCTCCCATCCAAATACTAGCCGGGGCTCACCCTGTTTAGCTTCCAAGATCTGACAAGGTCGGGCCTAGCCTGCATCATCCAAGTCAGGGCTAAATAGTACTAATTAGTATTTTAATACGAAATTAAAACAGGAGCTATAGAACTTCATATGCAGCAGATTTTTACTAAGGCTACTAGCCGGGGCTCACCCTGTTTAGCTTCTGAGATCTGGCAAGGTCGGGCCTAGCCTGCATCATCCAAGTCAGGACTAAATAGTACTAATTAGTACAAAATTAAAACAGGAACTGTAGAACTTCATATGCAGCAGATTTTCACTAAGGCGGCGAGGTCAAGATCACTGGAATGTTTCTGAATGTCTGGCATAATTTAATTGGGGAAAAGAAGATAATAAATATAGACCTTCAGGCTGTGGTCAGATGTGCCATTTGATGTGGATGGGAAGTGCCCCATTACCTTCAATGGAATTTGACTCACAGTTGCACAATCACAAGTCCCTTTGTGTTGCAGGTTCAACCCGTCACTGTGTGATTGGATGCCGTGTTCGGCTGAGTGGGTTTTTTTTTTGCCTTTTGTTTCCCATGTGGATAAATGAGGAATTGAACCTCTGCGCTGAGGGTTTGCCATGGAGTATGCGGTTATGCATATACTGCTAAGCGGGAGGGGAAAAAATGGCACTCGGTTGGGAAGGTATGGGCAGACCATCCCAACAGCCTGAGAGTGTGCTTGAGCAATCAGACCAGGGAAACTCCGTCTGTGGCCTGTCGGCAAGTGTTAGGACCGGACTTTCCCCCGTGTTTCTTAACTCCACTTCTGTGTCGGGGCAGCAGGGGGTGCTGACGACTGCGGGACCTTTCCCTGACCGTGCCCTTTAGATCCATCAGGCATTCGCAGCTATGTCAGATCTAAAGGCATGCCTGACCGCAGCCTCCGTGTCCAGAGTTTTTTCCTCCCATAACTCCGCAGTCACTGCAGGGGTGGAATTCTCTCAGTTCCGATTGGGGTGCTGATTCACTGTCCAGCGTCACTGGCTGGGCAGGTGTCATGGTGCTTGCAGCCTTGCCTATCTTGTGCTGTACGCCGCGTGACCCTTAGTTATATCAAAAGGGTTTTAAGCTGCAAAGGGTGTAGAAATGCCCATATGGGGAAGGGCAGTATTGTGGCAAAGTACACCACTGATATAATTTGCAATAGCCTGCAAGTTGTATTTTGAACTAAATGTACTGTTCTCAAGGGAGGGAGTCCCAGTTCTTTCCAAGTTCTGTATTCCTCCACAGTCATAAAATGTGTCCGAATTTTTTTCTAATGCAAAATTTATTATTTGGGCATTGAAGCACATTTGAATTTAAATGCAATTTTTGCATTGTTGAAAAGTGTTTTAGTATTGGTATTTTTATGCTGAATTACAAGGTGTGAGATGCTGGAAAGGGTGTACACTTATTTTAAAATAGTTGCTAAAGGAAACAGTAGACTAACAAGATATGTGGCAGGGTGTGAGCTTTCATGAGTCACTGCTCACTTCTTCAGAAGAACAAGGTGGTGGTGGTGGCGGTGGTGGTGGGACTCTACTTCCACCAGCCAAAAGTTGGGGTGGGTTATGCTATTTGGGATAAACATCTGTGTTTACTGCTTTTCAACTAAGATCCCAGTACATTCTGCCTTTTCGATTTAGTTTCAGACACTCTGGCTCAGTCTATTACCCAGCATCTACGATGGATTATGCAGAAAGACCTTTTGGGCCAAGATGTCTTCCTTATAGGGCCACCCGGGCCCCTGCGGCGCTCTATAGCTATGCAATACTTGGTAAGATTTTTGAAGCGATACCTTGTCTTCTTCATTGGGAAATTCAAGTCAGTGCTAACAATTTATGTGATTCAGTACAGTCAGCACGAGCTCACCAGTCTAAGGCATTTGCTTGGGTTTCTGGCAGAAAGCCCTGTGAAGTAGCGAGCAGTGGATGATGTGGTGAGAGAGTATCTAGTGAACAAGTTAGCTTTGAGCCCAGGAGCTCCTTAGAGACCAACCAGAGCAGAGCTTTGACTCTCAAATCTGGTTGGTCTGTCAGGTGCTTCAGGACTCAAATTTGGCTGTTCTACTGCAGGCCAGTATGGCTGACTCTCTGGTGAATAAGAGCCTTTTAGTGATTTCCCAGTTTGAATCGAACACTTCAAGACTGCTGTACAGAATGCCATAGAGCCCACCCTCCAAAGCAGTTATTTTCTCTCGGGGGGGGGGGGGGAACTTGTTTTCTTCTGTTGTCTGGAGTTCAGTTGTGATACCTGGTGATCTTCAGGCTCCACCTGTAGGTTGGCTACCCTAGGTGGGGCAGTTAGCGCTTCAGAGCAGGATTTGCTAGACCCAGGTTCTTGCTGTAGAAGTTGAGAAGGTGATTTCAGACCAGTCACAGACTTTCAGCCTAACCTACCTCACAGGGTTTTTGTGCAGATCAAAAAGGGGGAGAGAAGAATGATGTAATCTGCTTTGGTCTCCACTGTGGAGAAAGACTGTACTTTTCCTCCTGGGGAATCACTGCTGCCAATTTCCAGGTGAGGGCTGGAGATCACTCAGAATTAAAACTGCTTTCCAGATGGTAGAGATCAGGGGCAGATAAAGGTAGGTTGATGGTTGGCTGGGAAGGTTGGAAAATTCCTGAAGATTTGCAGGGTGGAGCCTGGAGAGGGTGGGGTTTGACGAGGAGTGGGAACTCAGACAGGTACACTTTTATGGCTGAACAGTCTTTGAGGGAAGTAAAGCAGGCGAGCAAAAGACTGATGGAAGCTGTGCGTCGTGATCTCCCTTGAGTGAAGATGTTGGTTCTCAGGTGGGGTTTCATTCAGCAGCCTTGTGCTGTGTCCTGCAGGAGCTGACCCAGCGAGAAGTGGAGTACATTGCCCTCTCCAGGGACACAACAGAAGCAGACCTCAAACAGCGGAGAGAGATCCGAGCTGGCACGGCCTACTACGTTGACCAGGTGAGTAGCTGTAACAGCCCCTGGACACTGGTTAGAGTTGGCTGCCGGAGAAACTTGGGGGGGGGGGCATTTCCTATTCTCTTTCAGCATCCCAAGAAACCAGAGCATTTTTGGTTCGCTACGGATAATGTTAGTTTACTTGCTGTGTCTAAGGAGGTTAAGGGTGAGGGTCTTTTATAGTTACATGGAAAGAACGGTTTGCCTTTTCGTCCCATTTCGTTCTTCGTCTTGTCAAAGTTTTTGTCTCTCATTTCCTTTCCTCATCTTGCCCCTTTCACCTCTCAGCTCCTCATATATCTTCTTCTCCTGTTCTTCTTCCTGTTCTTTCACACTCCTCCCCTCTTTATCTGGGGGCCTAAAAGAAGATGCTGAGAAGCCACGTAGGCAGGTTGGAGCAAAACTTAGCGCTTCACATTGTGGTGGGGTTCTGTGTTTGGGCAGCTGTCTCCCGCAACTGATTCCGCGTTTTGGTTCCTAGTGTGCCGTCCGTGCAGCCACGGAAGGTAGGATCCTGGTCCTGGAAGGGCTGGAGAAGGCGGAGCGGAACGTCCTGCCAGTGTTGAACAACTTACTGGAGAACAGGGAAATGCAGCTTGAAGACGGCCGTTTCCTTGTGTCAGCAGAACGTTACGACAAACTGCTGAAGGTACTAGGAATAAACTGACGTTCACGTTTGCTTCATGGGCAGATAGTTTGTTACTGGAATGAACGGAAACAAGGTGCCAAAGCAGCCTTTGTGGCTCTTCTGTACAGCTCTTGTCCTTCGCAGTTTGGTTACTTCGTTCCTTCGGGGCATTGCCCTGCCCCCGTTTTGTCTCCCTGCAAGTCCCAAGTGTGTTTGCCCCAAATGCCGGGATCATATCCGTCCACCCAGCAGGCGTGTCATTGTGCAGGCTTCAGCAGAAGGTCTGTTATGCCCTTTCCAAAGGACATAGTAGCCTGTTTGGTCTTTGGGTCTGTCGTGGTCAGCTGTATCCTCTTCCTGGAACTTTTTTTTTAAAAACTACTGTAGTCTCTTTTCTGAGTCCTCATAACTCTGAATAAGGGGGTCCCCCCCAACATGGTCCCCGTGGGCCCCGGCCGACACGTTTCCTGGCACTCAACAAGGGTGTTTAGAAGGTGGGTGGGGCCAGATGGGGCTTTTGCCCAGCAAGGCTTCTGATTGGCCATTGGAGATCTCATTAGCTTTGCAGATTTTTTCAAGCGTCGCATTGAAAGCAGCTGCCGCCATGACAACAAGGATCTTCACTGTGTGGCTGAAGGCAAGCCACGGCAGCCATTTTGTGGCTGGCTTCGCCTCCCGTAGCTGCGCCCACCATACTGTGTCAGAATTGAAAATGTGCCTGCAGGTTCAAAATGTTTTGAGGGGGGGGGACCCTGCTCTAAATAACGTAACTGATTTTAGCACTACTGGGAGGAAAGCCGTTTCCAGGCCACAGAACTTTGTGGGCATCGCTTGTCAACCCGCTCACCAGCTTTCCAGCCAGAATGCAGCCTGTTTAGGAAGAGTGCGGCCGGAGGCTCCTGCAGCTCAGCTTCCTGTTGTCCCTTCAGAATTTGCACAGAAGGGGGGTTGCAGTCAGAAAAATGCTTCTGTAAGGATAGCCTTCAGGCAACATAATATAAAATAACGTTTTTGTGATTATGCTGTATTTTTTATCTCCTCTTAACCAGTATATAATTGCAGTTTATGCTCACCATTGGTCCTTTGGGATCTAGTATCATCAAAATGGTGATTTTAAAAGATGCATAAAATAGAGCATATTTCACCTTTTCAAGGTTCTGACTTGGTGCGCAAATTAGAACGACTTCAAATTCTTGAACTATCCACACTTCTAACAGCATTTTCATGGTAAACTGTATAAAAATGCAAGAGAAGAACTCCTTCCCTTTGACTACTTCCACAGGAAGGGCAGGTGACGACTCCATAGGGTGGAAACACATGCTTGGTTAAAGGGGGGGGGGCTGAATTTTTCTTTCATGATCCTGAGCTGTGGCTCTTCTGTTCAGCTCTGTACAGTCCTGAGGTTCACATTGAGAAAACACAGCAAACAAGAACTGGGTGGTCCATTAAAAAGTGCACGGATGTTTGCATTGTGTTGAAAATAATGATGATACGAGTTCGAAGTTTTCTGTGTCAAAAGTCCTCTTTTTTTTTGGTCCACTTGAGAAACCTGATCTTTTTTTCTGAAAATGCTGCTGGAATCTCCTTTTATTTAGGAACATAAGAAAGGAGAGTTGGATGCATGGAAACTTGTTAGAGTCAGCGAAGACTTCCGAGTGATAGCCCTGGGCCTTCCTGTGCCCCGATATTTGGGCAACCCGTTAGACCCGCCTCTTCGGTCTAGATTTCAGGCTAGAGATATTTACTACCTTCCCTTTAAGGTACGTCATGTCACAAACCTGTGATCTCGTGCGCAAAGCTTTTATGCTTGCATATTTTGTTTAATCTTAAAATGTTGACTCAGGATTAGTTTGCGCATTCCGTATTGAAGATGACGTACTAAAAATTAATTCTGTACTCTGCAGTGAAGCCTTTTGATACCAGAGATGACAGTCTTTACAATATTTAAGTTAATGGTTGTGTACGAAACTGAGTTGTGAGAGTCAGTGGTCTGTAACCATGTCAGCATGCACACACCTTGGAATGCTGAGAGAAGGCGGTGGATGTTGCCACAAAATGACTGTCCAGTGGGGAGTATGGCCAATCACATGGAGGCTTACAATAATAGTTTTTAAAAAATTCTTGTTAAAACCAGAATAAAATAACACTCCCTCCTCCCCCGTTAAAAGATGCCTGCCATTCAAACCCCCCTCAAAAGCCCTAGCCAATAGGCAGGCCCCAGAGCACCTCCAGAAGATCCGCAAGGAGAAGAAGAAGAGGAGGAGATTGGGTTTCTACCCCATGGCCCTTCACTACCCCAAGGAGTCTCAGAGCGGCTTACAAACTCCTTCCCCTTCCCCTCCTCACAACAGACACCCTGGGAGGTGGGTGGGGCTGAGAGAGCTCTTGACAGAAACGGCTCTTTTTCAAGAACAGCTCTTATCAGAACTACGGCTTGCCCAAGGTCATCCAGCCAGGTGCAAGTGGAGGAGTGGAGAATCAAACCCGGCTCTCCCAGATCAGAGTCCGCGCACTCTACCACTACACCAAACCTAACCCCCCACCTCTTCAGGTAGCCCATCCCACAAAGCCTGAGCCACGCCGGAGCCTTCTGAGAGGTGGCTCCCAGGCCATGAAGGGCTTTGGAGGTCATGGCCAGCCCCTTGAATTGAACTGGGAAGCAGGCTGGCAGCCAGCACTGCTGCTTCAAGAGAGGCTTGGTCCCACCTGCCCAGGATGAATTCAGCATTTTGCGACTGTGTTTGTTGTTAGAGAATGACCTTAAACTCCTTGGATTTTATTGTTCTGTTCAAGGCTATTGGATTTTGGGGTGCCGTGAAACAAACTGAGAGGTGCCATGGCCCTCTGTGGGCGCCACATTGGGGTTCACTGGTCTACAGAATGGTTATGGGACAGCATGGCTCTTGTACAGTAAAGCGAGGCACTGTTGCCTGATACGTGATATTGTGCTCTGTTTTAGGATCATCTTGCACTGTTATATTGTATTGGATCTAACGTTGCAACGGAGAGGTAAATACATTAAAATGATTTTAATTTGCTCTTGGCTTACCTACAGAGCCACCATGAATGTCAGGAGGTATGGCAAGGACACGCGACACAGACGCCAATAGCTGCTTAGGCAATTACGTGAATTTTGCTGCTGCTCTGCCCTGCCTTGCAGAATGGCGGTAGTATGAAGCTATGTAAGAGTAGCTGTGTTGGATCACACCAACAGTCCCCCTAGTCCAGCCTCCCATTTCACAAAGTGGCCAACCAGATCACACACACACACCCCTCGCCAGAGGTCTACAAGAGGGAGGGGAGGCCAAACCCTCCCAGGACCGGCCTCCAGAGGATGACTGAACGCGAAGGGTCTGTTTAGTCATCATGGCTAGTCACCGTGGATGGACCTGTCCTCTGTGGACTTGTGGAATCTCCTTCTAAAGTCAAATAAAGGAGCAGCCATTGCTACAACTTCTGGCGATTCTACAATCGCCCTGAAAGTGAAGTACGAAATGAGCAGTGCCATCTCAAACTCAGTTACACCCAATTAAACCCAGTGACACCAGTGGGCCTTAGACTATTGTAACTCTGCTTCAGATCGTACTCTGAGCCATGTTGTAACTTTCAGGGTGTCTTTGAAAGAGGTTGGTTGGAGAAGAATTTTCAGCGAATAAGTTTAGACGAGCCCCTTTATCAGTTGAAGCTGAAACTTTATTACCGGCCTGGCCCGGGATCCTTGTTGTGAAGCCCTCTGGGCTTTCACGGGTCATGAGGACCAGCATGGTGCAGTGTGGTCTGAGTGCTGAACTAGGACCTGGGAGACCCAGGTCTCTCTCTCTCTCTCACACACACACACACCCGCTCTGACCCCTTCGGCCAGCCACACCCTCTCAGCCTCACCCACCTCACAGGGCAGTTTTGAATAGAGAAGTGGAGGAGAGGAGCATGGTGTTAGGCCCTCCAAGCCCCCGTTGCGGAGAAAGACAGGGTAATGACGACTGGGGGTCGTGAGGGTGTACTTTGGGCGATTTAGCAGAATAGTGTGTTCTGCATTAGAGAAAACCAAATCTTGCATATCAGATCAAGGAAACAAGAGTAGTTTGTCAGTGTGTCTGATTTGTGGCTAGCTCTAGACCAGGAAATCGTCATTCGTGGCCTGTGTGTGGGGTGGAGGATTTCTGGACTCTTTCTAGTCACGAATCTGAATACTGCTTTAGTGTTGTAAATCTAAGGATAAAAATGGTTGTTGGTTAATTCCTTTGTAGAATTTCCCAGCTTTTGTCCTTTGCAACAACTCTTTGCACCCAAGAATCTTCTGCAATGGGGCTTCCTGATTTCCCTTTAGATAGCTTATCATCCGCCGTAAAGATTCTGGTAGGTCCATGCAAATATGCAGAAATATTTTCTATATACTTTTTGCTGTTTGTGTAGTTAAGTCATAACATTAGGTGAGGGTGAATAGTAGTAGGGTTGGTGATCTAGGGCTTGGATTAAATCCCTGGCAAGACTGGGACGGGAGGACGTATCTGCAGTCTTGGGAAGCCCTTGGAGTGAAGCTAGCAGGACACTGCTGAAGTTAGAGGAATTCTTCTGCCTTTTCAATAGTGTGAAAGTACCTATTGATACACCTTCCAAGTCACATATGTGCACATATGTCTCTCTCTCTGTAAGATATATTTAAAATGAGTTCCAAGGAAATTATCATTTTTGTGAATTTGGACAGAGCAATCCTAAGCAGGTCTAACTCAAAAGTAAGGCCCATTTTATTCAGTGGGGCTTACTCCTGGGAAAATGTTTTAAAATTGCAGCCTTAGTTAGTCTGTGAAGGACTTTTGGGAGCCAGCTGTCATGCAGAGGAATGTTTTTGCAGGTTTTCTTTAAAAATCTCCAGAGCTGATGTTCAAGTTTTGACCTCCTTTCCTTCACATTAACTGTGATCAGGAACTTTGGAGGGTAGGACCAGCGAAGTTACTGTCGAAATGGTTATGGATGGCCCACCTTGTTCTAGGAATGCTGGCATTGATGCTTTCCGCGTTGAATACATTGGTGATCTCACGTGCCTCTCACTTCTTCTGTGTCCTCCCCTGCCCCCCAAGAACTCCTTCCCTCTGATGCCCATCCAGCATCTAGTCTGCTGGCTTTATCCCTATGAGGTTCTGCTAGGCAAGGAAGGGAAGACAGCAGTGGAAGACGCATTAAAAGTAAGTACAAGTAAATGTTCATTGTGTGCATATGTAGCTTCTAGGGGGCCATTGGCTGGATCTTGTTATTCTCTCACATTAATGTGGAATCATAGAGTTGGAAGGTGCCCTAGAGGTCATCTAGTCCAACCCCTGCTCAAGACAGGATCAGCCTAAAGCATCCCTAGCCAGTGCTCGACAAGCTGCTGCTTGAAAACTGCCAGTGAGGGGGAGCTCACCACCTCCCTAGGCAGCCCATTCCACCGTGGAACTACTTTTACTGTAAAAAAAGTTTTCCTAATATCCAGCCAGTACCTTTCTGCCTGTAATTTAAACCCATTGTTGCGAGTCCTGTCCTCTGCCGCCCACAGGAACATCTCCCTGCCCTTCTCTGAGTGACAGCCTTAAAGAGAGAAATAATGTCCCTCCTCAGCCTCCTCTTTTCCAGACTGAACATTCCCGAATCGCTTAGCCTTTCCTTGTCGGTGGGCTTGGTCTTTCCCACTCTCTTCCACATCTGCTCCATTCTGTCCACATCCTTTTTGAAGAGAAGCCTGCAGAACTGCACACAGGAGGGCTCCAGGTGCGGCCTGACCCATGCAGTGTACAGCAGGACTGTGATATCTGAAGTTAACATTAGTTAAGGAATCAGGAGTGGGACACAGGAATAAGTGGCCTTCTGCCTCACTTCTGATGCATGGATTCCCCACGTGCATATTGAGCTCCTAGGTCAAGCAAAAAACTTAGGAAATTTGGACCCTGGCTGATTTCTGTGAGGACAACAATAGAAAAGAGCAAGAGTCCAGTAGCCCCTTAAAGGCTAACAAAATATGTGGCAGGGGATGAGCTTTCGTGAGTCACGGCTCACTTCTTCAGGTACAGCTTAGAATGGGAGTCTATCTTTCCTATATATTGACATTAGCAGGCAAATGACAGTAGCAGGTGTGATTGGATTAGGTGTGATCTGCAGAGAGGTAGTAGGTATGGAGAAATCAGCATTGGTAATGAGACAGGAAGCCTAGGTCTCAATTCAGTCCAGAAGGATGCATTGTCTTGATCTTCAGCAGCCTGTCTTTCTAATCTCCCTTTGAAATTCCTTTGTAAAAGAACTGCTACTTTTAGGTCAGCAACTGAATGTCCTGGAAGGTTAAAATGTTCCCCCCACTGTCAGAGAAGCCTGGGATAGGGAAACTAATGCAGGAGATAACTACCGTAATGGTCACCCCTAGACCTTTCTTCTCCTGTTTGACAAAACACTGAACACACACACACACACCCCGAGTTCCTGATAGGGCAGATAAATTAACTTGAGCTGGGTTTTTAAAAATCCTGGTTCCATTTAAGGACTTATTAATGCAGCCGTCAGACCCCTGGAGAAATCAGTTCCCAACAACAGTAATTCCAAAGAATATAAAGTTTATTGAGACATTGATAGGGTAACTGTGGATAACTGTTGCTAAATCACTGTGTTCGAGGAAGGGAACCAGCTGCCTGATCAGCCGAAGATGGTAAAAGGCCGACTTGGCAGTGGCTGCTACCTGGGCCTCCATTGTTAAGGCAGCATCCAGGAGCACTCCCAGACTCCTGACCTCTGGCACTGGCACCACTGGTGCCCCATCAAAGGTCGGGAGTGGGATCCCTACCCTTGGCCTGCCCCAACTCAAGCACAGGACCTCCGTCTTTGTCGGATTCAGTTTCAGTTGACTCAGTCTAAGCCAACCAGCCACAGTTTGTAATCTTCCGGTCTGGAGCCAGACTGACTGCCCAACAACAGGTAGAGCTGGGTGTCATCCGCATCCCAGCCCATAACTCTGGGCAAGGGGGCACATGTAGATGCTGAATAACATTGGGGAAAGTACCACTCCTTGAGGCACTCCACACTAGTGGGTACCTCTGGGAGAGCTGTTTCCCTAACGCCACCCTTTGTCCCCGACCGTGGAAAAAGGACGCAAGCCATTGCAAGGCGAGCCCCTGAACCCCTATATCGGCAAGGCGGTGGATCAGTAACTGATGGTCGACCATGTCAAATGCAGCCAACAGCTCCAACAACAACAGCACCGCCAAACCGCCCCAATCCAGATGCCTCCGGAGATCGTCCGTGAGGGCAACCCGTTCTGTCTCTGTCCCATGGCCCGGGCGAAAACCAGACTGGAAAGGATCTAAAATGGAAGCGTCATCCAAAAAGCTCTGTAGCTGGATTGCCACGGCCCTCTCTGTTATTTTGTCCAGATAGGGCAAATTGGAAACTGGCCGATAGCTAATTTGGCTGGATCCGGGGATGGCTTCTTCAAGAGAGGACGCACCACTGCTTCCTTGAGCACCCCAGGGAACAGTCCCTCCGTGAGAGACTTGTCGATAATTTCCTTTAGGGCTGCACACAACCCATCATAGCCAGCTTTAATTAGCCACGACGGGCACAGGTCAAGGCAGCATGTGGTCGGGTGTACCGCTAAGAGCAATTTGTCAACTTCCTCTAGGCTGAACGGACTGAAATAATCCATAACCTGACCCGAAGCCGTGCATGGATTGTACAGCCAATATCCAGTTCTCTGGAATGTAGTCTGCCCTGTGGAAGAACAGTTAAAGACCGAATTGTTCTAAATAATTGGGCTGGGCATGAGCTCACAGACGCGATCGTGGCCGCATAGTACTCTCTCTTTGCGGCTTTGACTGCCACCTCATAGGATCTCATAAATGTCCTATAGGGATGCTCTTGTAGTTTCATTGCGAGCATGCTGCTACCATCTCTCTAGCCATCTCAGCCCTTGTTTCCTAAGCCGCAACTCCTGGATAAACCAGGAAGCAAGCCTAGAGCGAGGGCGCCAGGGAGCGATCTCGTTGATGGCTGCAGACAGTGAGCGATGCCAGTCCCCTACGAGCTCATCCAATGAGCCGCCAGGGGGCATTGGATCCTGCAGAGCTGTCTGGAACTGTAGAGGGTCCATTTGGCTCCACGGGCGAGCTAAAATGCGCTCGCCACCTAAACAGGGTCGGAGTGGAACATTCACATGGGCCCTCAGAGCATGGTGGTCCGAGCATGGCACTGCCAAGGCAGTAATCTGGTCCACTGTTACCCAGCTGTGAAGATCAAATCAAGCATGTGTCTGGCCCAATGAGTGGGGGTTGTTACAAATTGGGAGAGTCCCAGTGCTGCCATGGACAACACTAGGTCTGTTGCCTAAGTGGAGGCCACGTCATTGGCATAAACATTGAAATCTGTTAGATCCCAAATCAGGAGAATAGATCCACGTTCAAAATGAAGCAAGATTTATTTCCAAAGCATGGTTGATCACGAACATACAGAGATTGTTAGGAATAACTACAATGCCCAGGGAAGGTGTATTAAAGGAACTTCAAACAAGGTTTAAACCAATGAGCTCATTTCCCTCTTTAGGTTACAGATTAGAAAAGGCGCGAAGCGGCCTGAGAACAGCAACGGCCAGTTCCATAAACACTCGTAGAGTTCACACGGGAAATCTAAACAAGCCAGAGCGTCAAGACACAACACCACATCACACCAGCTGGAGAACCTTGGCAGTTACTAATGCGCTACATGCAAAGGATAACAACTACAGGAGTGAGGGAGGGGGTGGGTACAAGAAAAGGGACGAGAGGTGTCCCAAGGAAATGGCAGCTCGCTGACATACTGCCCACCTGAAAATACAACTTACCCCCCA